TAAACCCATTATTACACAGATGTGAACTTCAGTGGATTTAAACCCATTATTACACAGATGTGAACTTCAGTGGATTTAAACCCATTATTACACAGATGGGAATTGTATTGCACAAGCATGTCAAATAAATGAAAAAAGTTATTGACACTATGCATTACTCTAATTTTAATAATTCTTTAAACTATGAATGATACTTTGTATAGTAGGTATTTAGTTTTTCTATACACAATTGTTGTTGTAAGATATTCAGAGTATTTTGGAACAAATTCAAAATGCATTATTATTATTATTAATGTTTTTTACAAAAATATAGAAAATACTTTTGTAAATAATATATATATTACATATATATTACAGAGTGAATGAATATCATAGAAATGAAGCCTTTTAGGAACTGTAATTAATAATTTCATGGTAAATCATAATCGGTAGTTTTTACTACTACTATTTTTTTACGTATCTTTATAAAACTATTTCTACTTTCAGATTATTAGTTTAAAAAATATTAAGATCTCTATCGAAAAGGTATGTCCTTTTCCCAAAGATATTGGTAAGTTGTAACAAATAATATCTTGTTTTGGAACTGTAACAACTATAGCAGTTGATTCTCCCAGTAACTGAGTATCACGGTACATTATATTCCTCAAGATCGCCATTAAAAACCATATCGTCTCTTTAAAACAGGCCATTTTGAAACTGTAACAAACATATTTGATTTGCCACTAATTGTATGTCACAATATGTTCAATTAATCAAGAACTCCATCAAAAATCTTGTCTCGATCCTCTTTTCAACTAGATTTACTGATAACTGAATGTCACAGTACCCCCAAATCGTTAAGATCTCCAGCAAAAATTATATCACCTCTTTAAAAAAACACTGTTTGGAAACTGTAACACTCAGTTTATCAATACCATTATCATCACAAACCCTATCTCTCAACAAAACCTGTTTGAGAAATTTATCACTAGATTTACTGTTAGCTGAATGTCACAGTACACCCCCCCCCCCCCTTATTCATCAAGATCTCCAATAGAAACCATATCTTCTCCCTTTTACAAAAAGTTGTTTGGGAAGTTTGCTTTGTTTTGGTTGTTGTTGTTAAGTGCAAAGCTTAACACCTCTTGATAAATATAACACTTTAATATATGTTCCTGTGTAGTATCAGGTTAAAAGCTTTATCAATCACTATATTTCCAACTTTGGTGAGTTAGTTTATCTTTTATATAAATAAGTTATATTAGAATAATTTTGGAGCCTCGCTAGTATTACCGTCCATTTTGCCATGTCCAGTCATGCTCTATTTCATGACCGTATATCTATTTTGCCATGTCCGGTCATGCTCTTATTTGATAACTATATATCTATTTTGCCATGTCTGGTCATGCTCTTATTTAATGACTATATCTATTTTGCCATGACCGGTCATGCTCTTATTTGATGACTATATCTATTTTGCCATGTCCAGTCATGCTCTTATCTGATGACCGTATATCTATTTTGCCATGTCCGGTCATGCTCTATTTCATGACTGTATATCCATTTTGCCACGTCCTGTCATGCTCTGTTTAATGACTGTATATCTTTACAATAATCCTACAGTGTAGTTTATTGCAAAAGGCTCTTTGGTTGAGGCTGTCATGTTCAAAGCACACCTCTCCTCACTGCTAGTTTCCCGTATACCATCTAAGATACAAGGATGACTATTTCCCAGTGTCAGTTTCTACAGTCCGATCACACAAAAATCCATAGGTGCTTTGCTTTATCCAGTGACTTTATCGTTATGTTTTCATATGAAATAGAATGAAAACCCATTTCATTCTCCAGCTGTTTGCAGTATGTGATGGTTTAATGGATATGTCATTGGAGCAACTTGTGTCGTTTTTCCAGACTGTGATCATTTTGATTATGTTGCATACTGTTGCCTGGGATACAAGGAAGGGTTTTATCACTGATCTTTGTGTTCGTGGATTCTAACCTATTACTAAAGCATCACTTGGATTACTACGGCTAGGGCATGATTTGCAGCAGGTCTCTTTCAAGATGTTCCTCGTCCCTGAATTGCAAATTTCTTTGTTTTCCAGTGTCATTAAGTATAAGCGATATCCATATTTTAAAAATTCAAAATTTCCGGTCTAAATACATTTTTATTATTTCAATGTATAAATATCTTGCGTTAGAAATGGCTACATACCCTTCCCAAAAAGGATTAATTTTCGATGACATCGCACTTCCTACTTAAAGTCAAACAATGTCAAAATGTAGTTCTGATACATCCCATTCCAACTGCAATTAATCTATAAACAAATCTAAATAGCTTTATTTATATGATATATTGTTTTTTCTACATATCTGGAGTTTATGGGGTTTTTATAAATGAATTACTCTAATTTCTATTCTTCCGGCACAGCAGGGCCAGGTGGTTATGGCGATCGACTCGCAATTTGCGGGTCGCGGGTTCGAATTCCCATCACACCAAACATGCTCGCCCTTTCCGCCGTGGGGGCGTTATAATATGACGGTCAATCGCACTATTCGTTGGTAAAAGAGTTGGCGGTGGGTGGTGATGACTAGCTGCCTACCCTCTTGTCTTACACTGCTAAATTATGGACGGCTAGCGCAGATAGCCCTCGTGTAGCTTTGCGCGAAATTCATAACCAACTAATCTATTCTGCCCCCAGTGACACAGAAGTATGTCTGCGAACTTACAACGCTAGAAACCAGGTTTCGATACCCGTGGTGGCCAGAGCACAGATAGCCCAAAACCAAATTAATTTATATTCTAATCATTTGTAAGTTTTTAATTTGTTAAAGCGAACGAAAAACCCTTTGGACATCTCTGGTGTGAGAACTACTCATCCGATCAGATTTTAGATTTTTATTTGCTGGTCTATGTGGTGTATTTTGAACAAGTCTGCTCACCACAGTTGCAAAATGAGTGTTTACTTTCGAAATTTTGTCAAATATATAAATATAAGATATATATCGCATTATCGTTATCGGTCCAAGTTGTCAACTTATTGTCATAAGGGATGTATTGCTGATAAAATGTAAATTCAGTGGCGTTATATACTCTGTTATATTGTAATAACAAACAAATTGTTTAATGGTTTGTCTACTTATTCAGAAAGATTTGTTTGTTTCAAAATTTAGCGCAAAGCTACATAAAGGACTGTCTGCACATAACTATTCCAAAGTTTGAGTAAAGGCAG